TATGCTTCTCTGTCTGTCTGTCTGTCTGTCTGTCTGTCTGTCTGTCTGTCTGTATGTATGTATGTATGTATGTATGTGGTATGCAGGTATGTATGTATGTATGTATGTATGCATGCATGCATGCATGTATGTATGTTATCAGATATACTTGTGGACATAAAGATAGAATGGTTGATCGGCACATAGATGGATGTACGAGTGGATGGATATGTGTGTATATATATATGTGTATTAGAACTCTATGTACATATATATATATATATATATGCTCAAAGCCTATAGTTTAGCCCCGAGGGAGCCAGAGTCGGATGCTGACTCGCATAGTGTGTGGGGAGTGAAACCTGGACGTCAAACATCAACAAGTATCATGTCGTCGCATCTCCTGCCGTCATGTGGTGACTGTACGGTTTAGGATTTAGGGTTTAGGGTTTAGGTTGTAGATTAGCCTTAGCCCTGATTGTTTGTGTTCTTAGTATGGCAACATGGCATGCTCGATGTCAGCCGTTTAAGGTTCGGTGAGAATACCCGATGCAACTCCCGTGCATGAACTGTGAAATAAGACCTCAGTGCATGATAGGCATCCCCTCCCATCTCTTCAGGCTTCTTTCGTTGACCCTTCGGTTACCTAAGGAAATAAATCAGATCCATTAGAGATCCTACTATGATTTAGAGTCTTTTCACGGAGTCTTCCTTGATTCCTTAATTAAGCGATGCTGGAAACTCTGGGTTGTCCTAAGGAACACTGAGGTGGTCGCTGTGGTAGATTCAGTCCTGGTCTCTCCCGGCAAGGAAACCAGGGACTCCAATACCCCTTAATTCCTTAATTTAAATATACCTTAAATTATAGTAGGATCCCTAATATGATGCAAGGTATATTCCTTAATTAAGGGGTATTGGAGTCTCTGGGAAACCTGGATGAGACCCCTCGTTGTGTGCAGCCGACCTATAGTCTCCTCCATAGTAGGTCCTTTTCTGGATTACCATCTAGGGTTTAGGGTTTATGGTTTAGGGTTTAGGGTTTAGGGTCATTGTAGTTCCTGTTTGGGGATGCCTTATAAAATCCTTAATATGTTATTGGTTAAACCAAAAAAAGGAACTACAATGGAGACTACAGGTAGGGTCGTGGGTTTAAGGTTCCGGGTTTAGGGCGCGCGGGCTCGTCACATGGCAAATGGGGTCGTAGTCTTCTAGGGTTCAGGCAGGCCTCTGTAGGCGTAAGCTCGTTGTACAATGGAGACGTGGGCTCCTTTATAGTATTGGTATAATAAGAAACCCTAACAGCATTCTTGTTAATTAATTAGGCTTCTTTATAGTTTTGGTATAGTAAGGAGCCCTAACAGTAATATTGGTAATTATTTAGGCTTCTATATTAGTGCAAAGCAGGGTGTAAGAAGATCATGAAGGACTAATCAAAAGCTCTCCACACCATCGAAGCGGACGAGAACAGGAACCCTAAAACCGCACCCCATCTACAGCCTTCTGAATATAGATGAGAGTAGTAATATCCTGAGATAGTTGTCGCTTAAAGCTCCTCCACACCCTAGTCAACTCAGGCCCTAAACTCTAAACCCCAAGCCCAAACCGCAGACACCCAACCCTAGGCCCTAGACCCTGAACCCTCACCCCCTATATGAACCCTGAACCCCAATCCCTCTAAGCCCTAGGCCCGCAACTGAAAGTAGAGTAAACCCTCACCCTACACCCTAACCTGGAGCCCTAAACCCTAATAAGCCCTACGCCCTAAAGTCAAAGTAGAGTAATTAAACCCGCATGGCCGGAAGCAGGTCAGAGTTGGGTTGCCTGGTCGCAACGGGGAGCTATCTTCGGGGAACGGGCTTTGGGCCTTTTGGGTTTGTTCGGGGCTAGGGGTTTTCAGGGTTTGCGCTTGGGGTGGTGAAGCCGGATGATTGTGTCGAAGTTTTCCCGTGTTGGAGTTTGAAGCTTGTTGGAGGACAAGCTGTCCTAGCACTTGGGAATTGGCTGTTGCCTTCATACTTCCTGTTGCAATAACAGAGCAGCAGGGTGTTCCGAGCCAGACAAGGGCGACCCCTCTACGAACCAAGCAGCGACAATCAGCTGTCAGACCTTGGTCTGACTGCAGAACAGCTCATTGACAAATCATGGAAGCGATGCCGGCCAAATAGTCTACTCCACCTCCCTCTTGCATCCAGACAGCAACCACCACCCCTATCACTACGTCTACAGCTGCCACTAGTACGGTTCCTAGTCCCAGTACAAGTGCTAGTACTAGAACTAGTACCAGGACCAGTGCTAGAACTTGTACGATTGAGGGTACGAGGAGAGGAAGAAGAAGCAGTAGTAGTAGTAGT